ACTGGCATGACATAATTATATTTACACTTTAGCTCAGGTAGGGCGGGTGGACTAATGAAAGGCGAGAAGACTGCTCGCTGTATTAAACATTTCACATGAATTGTTTTTCTTATGTATGAAAAATGAGGCTGCTGGCTTAACATCAAGGACAGGCACGGATTGCGATCCCTCACCAGGTGATACACTCATACTTACTCAGGCCTTTCTTTCCACCTGGCCCTTGTAATGTATGGTGAGTTGGGTGTCCAAATTCATGTATATAAATAGTATGCCCTCACCGAACAGAATTTTGCCTTAATCTGTTAAACATTCAAGGGGGCAGTGCTGGCCAACACCAACTTCTACCTTATGTATATGTTAGGACACACCAAGGACTGCACAGACACTTTTTACAACTTGCCTGTCCTTTTCTTAACCATCCAAGATCTCAACCACCTGCCCCACCCCAACACACACACACCACTGACTACATTTATACACATGCATAAGTATGAAAACATGCTCCAGCCATCTCCTTTCTCCACTTTCATACTCTACCTGCTCAATAAAGATTGACATACAGCAGGCCGACGTTGTGACCTGGCCCTGGTATTTCTAATTACCAACAGGGAGAAGTGCTAGCTTAGGCAAAAGCCCATAGCAGGAGACGAGGGTTGTTACTAATAAGACTAAACAAGTGTAAAGCAAGCCTTAATGGGTCAGGTTTTGGAGAACACCTGCAAAAACTTTAAAAGTCACTTTCACAAATTGGGGGCAGGTGTAGAGAAGAAAATGTACTTTACCAAGTTCAATTCCCACTGTAGGCCCTCACTAATGTTAATTACTGGCTGGAGCATTGAATAGCAGCAGCCTTTAAGTTACAAAGTGTATGAAATTTCAGCCTTGAGAAAATAACAGTGTTGGTGACATTAACAAATATGAAGAGTAAGAACGGGGGTGTTTCAATCATTATGGAGGCAGTGGGCACGAGAGTCAAACCAATTAAAGTCTATACGTGCTACTTTTTAGCTGTGTGACTTTATGAAGGTTAATCTCTCCAAACATTATTTCCCACATTTGTTAAATAGGGAGAATACTTTAAAGTATTTTTGTAAGAAACTGATATTAATATGCCCAGAGCATAATATATATTCAACAAATAGCAGCAACATATTATTATTAATATAAAACAATGAAAGTCCAAACATAGGTAGATATTCATAAGGGACTTCATACATTTCCCACTGCTGGGTCCCTCATTGTTTATGCCAAGTAATGGCTGCCAAAGAGAGCCACATTCTAATTCCCAGAACCTGGAAATATGTTCCTGACATGGTGAAAGATTTGCACATGGGATCAAGGATTCTGAGATGTGGTTAGCTTGGGTTACCCAGGTGAGCCCAATGTAATCACAGGGATCCTTCTAAGAAGGTAGGAGGGCCCGGAGTGAGAAGGAGCTATGAAGATGGAGGCAGGGGTCAGAGTGGTGCAGGGTAAGCATATAGGGTGGCTTCCAGAACCTGAAAAACGCAAGAAAAGAGATTCTGTCTTTGGACTTTCAGAAGGAAAGCAACCCTGCTGACCTACTTTAGACTTCTGGCCTTCAGGAATGTAGGATAACATGTTGTGTAAGTCACTACGTCTTCAATAATCTTTTACAGCAGCAGGAGGAAATCAATACACTTACAAAGGTAAGAATCTAACTTCTTTAAAATTGTCTGCCCTGGGTGTTTAGAAAGAAAGAGGAAGTAGGGAGTGATACAACGTGGGGGAAAATGTTTGGTTCAGCACCTTAAACATAGATGAAAATTTTCATTTTAAGGAAAAGTATACAGACATGCAATTTTAGAACTAAAAACAGGTCACAGTAAAACTTTATGGTGGCATGAAGCAGTGTTGCGAGAGAGACAAGAATTGGAAAAGGGAAGATAGATTTGTTTGTTTATTCAACAAACAGATACTGAAGACTATGCACCATTTCAAAGTCTCTTTCCTTATTTAAGGTTCTTGTGATAGTTCTTCTTAGCTATCGAGTTAGACTAGAACATTTCTAAGATCTCTTTCAGCTCTAACGTCCTAGATTAAACCACAGAGGATGCCAGGCCGGCATGGCTCAGTGGTTGAGTGTCAACCTATGAACTAGGTACAGTGATGGCGAACCTAAGACACGCGTGTCAGAGGTGACACGCAAACTCATTTTTTTGGTTGATTTTTCTTTGTTAAATGGCATTTAAATATATAAAATAAATATCAAAAATATAAGTCTTTGTTTTACTATGGTTGCAAATATCAAAAAATTTCTATATGTGACACGGTACCAGAGTTAAGTTAGGGTTTTTCAAAATGCTGACACGCCGAGCTCAAAAGATTCGCCATCACTGAACTAGGAGGTTATGGTTCCATTCCTGGTCAGGGCACATGCCCAGGTTGCGGGCTCCATCCCCAGTGGGGTGTGCAGGAGGCAACTGATCAATGATTCTCTCTCATCATTAAAGGTTCTGTCTCTCTCTCCCTCTCCCTTCCTCTATGAAATCAATAAAATACATATTTTTTAAAAATTTAAGCCACAAATGAGAAAACATAAGTAATTTATTTATCCATGATCCTCAAGAAGCTTCAATTCCTAATCCTCCAGGATGGGAACTTGTCTGCTATCTACATTGCTACCACTAGATGGAAGAGTTAGCCTGGTGATAGCAAACCTAAGGCCCTGCATTTAAATTGTTTACATTTCTGAGCTGTGGTATAGAATTTATTTGAAAAGCCTGTGGAATTCAGCAGGGGGAGAAGTAACTGGCTAATACACAAAATGGTTGTCACATATGGAATGTATCACATTTAGAAAACCCATCCGCAGGCCACAGAGCCCATCCTGATGAACTGAGAGCTGATAATGCTGTCTACAGCCAGACAATTTTCTGGCAGGTGGCTTTCCGAAAACCGTGGTAGTGCCAGCACACTTCCACTATGACCTACAGCATTGCTAAATAGTCCCCCCAAATGTGCTGCAATTCATTTCAACATAAAGGAAAATCTTCAAGCTGCCAAATATTTCACATATGTTTATCAAATACTTTATAATCCATTCCCAAAGGATATGCTCTCTGCTGATCCTATGCTGAAGGCAAGAAAGTTCATTGACAATGTGCCAATTTCTATTCAAAATATCATACCATAGCACGATTTTCAACTTCAGTTTCAGGAACGGAGACAAAGTAATGTCTGCTTTAAGAGTTTGGCAGCACATGAGGGAAAGGAAGATGGTAACCTTACACAGTTGATTATTTTACAGTAACACACATCTTCTGTTTCTCATCACAATAAAAAAAAATCCTCCCTTTTTTTTCAGCTATTTTTCCAGGGCATGTACATTTCAGTTTATGCAATGGATATGCTGTGTGTAAATCAAATTTGGGGTGAATGGCAGTAAGGGAGCCCCGAGGGAACCCTCTGCTGGCTCTCTCATGTATTGAGATAGGAAGTGCACAGCATATGGCTCCGGACTTATTTTTATATCTTGCAAGTTGATCTTTGAAAGCAAAGAATGTCTATAAATGTATTAGGTTTGCTACTTTTCAGGCTTTAAAGCAGCTTCTGATCACATTTTTTTTTCTAATCATACCTCAGTTTAACCCATTTGAAATTTTTGAATAAAATTTTAGTTAAGCAAAGTTGTAAAATGACTTTTGTTCCACTAATCTGACTTCGTTGTTTTCTAATCTCTCATCTCAGATTTCTCATCTGCAATTAACTCAGTGCTAAGTGAGGAAGCTTCAGCCTCCAAAATTCTGAATCTGATCCTGCTGATAAAATGCAATATGCTTGAGCATTGGGCAGAGAAAGATAAATAATTTACTCAGTCGGGAAAATTAACTCACATTAGCAACGGTTTGTTTTAACATATAATGAGTACATACTATGCGCCAAGCACATAGGCTAAACAGTCTCACATTTAAAAACATGAAAACGTTTCTTTTAAGCCATGGGTTTCTGGGCTGTCTGGAAGAAAATTTTGGAGAGTCCAATCCCTTCTCACACTAAAGGAGCTCCTCTAATATTTCCTTAAAAAACAAAATTCCAAATGATGCTTGGCCACTACTTTCAAGCCTGGATGTCTTATTTGGCTGGGATTTGAACATTCTTTCTACAAATTATAAAACAGGTTCTAAGCATAATTCTCTAAGTAGCAAAAATGTGACTTTTATAATCCTCTCTAGAGGCAAATGTACATGAGATAAAATGAGAATTCCAGAAGTTAGTGGGATTAATAAACGGGGGGAGGGAGAACCTAGAGAGGACATGCAGCTTCATTTCCAATCAATGACCATGTAAAAAGGTCAGAGGAATCAGGCAAGAATATTTCTACAACTTTCAAAACTTTGTATTATAGAAAATGTCCAAGCTACACACAAGTAGAGTAAGAAGTATATCCCCGTGTGGCCATCATCCAGCTTCAACAGTTATCAATATTTAGCCAATCTTGTTTCATCTATTCCCTCTTTTTGTTTTGCTAGAGTATTTTACAGCAAGTCCAACACTGTTCTATTTCTTTTCACCTTCTTATTTTAGAAAGGTTTTCCACTGCTTCTTTTGCAGAAAAGTTGAAGAGAGAGTGTGTGATTGATTCTAGTTTTCACAGTAACCCTGCCAAAGAGGTTTTCGAGAGCAGACTTTATGAGAATGTGTTTTACACCTTTTGCAATAGCATCTGCTAATAATCATAAAAATAAAGAGGTTCCCCTCTGGTGCTGCTTAAGTAGAAAGAATTCCATTTATATTCCAATGCAAACACTGTGCTGTTAATATTAAACTGTGCAGAGGCAGGCACCCACGGTTGCCTGTTGGAAGAGAAGTTCATTTCTTTGAGGACAAAATGCTAAGTTTGATCCCATCTTTAGAGTCCGTCAAAGAAGCTCTCTTTGGATGGGTACTACCTTTTTAAGGAAAACTTCCAACTTCTAGCTAGGGTCTCGCCTGCGGTTGGGGTGGGGCGGGGGGGGGGGGGGGGGCTCCATCCTTACCTGTGAAGCTTATTCAGTCCCTAGGGCGCTGCCCAGTAGGAATCAAAGAGCTCCCGCGAGGTGGTCACCGACGCTGGGGACGGAGGGAGGATGGGGGCGCTGCTGCCAGGAGCCTCGCTGACTGCCAGGGCCAGAGGCTGCCCTGCCACCGCTGGCCAGCGCCTCCAGGAGCCAGCGGCAGAGACTGCGGAGGAGGCAGCGCCCAGCTGCTCACCGAGGGGAGATGGGAGGGGAAAGGGGGCGATGACGTGGGGGTGGGGGGAGGCGAAGGGGGAAGGAGGTGGGCCAGAGGAGAGTGGGACGGAGAAGGAGCCGAGACACTGGCCCATTGGGGACGGGGGTTGTGTGGTGGGGGGGGGGGGGGGGGAGGGGCCGGGGGGGGGGTACCTTACTATGAAATGCGGGCAGACAAAGCAGCCTCCCACCTTGTTTTTGTCCCCAGAGTGAGTGAATTAAGCATTAGGACACATGCATGAGTGGGCTTGCAGGAGACATCTGACGCAGTGAGAGCGTGCACGCTTGCCTATCTCAGGAAGATACCCTGGTGTGTATGTGCTGGAAGTGGGGAGGCAGCGCCCCAGAGTTCACTTTGAGTCTCATTCCTCCCCTCGGCTGGCTGCTTAGACTCAGCCAGCAGAACCAGGGCGTTTCCCCAACCCTATCCCACGCCAGTCTTCATCCCGGACCTCGCCTCCCAGGACGCTCTGCCCACGGGGCAAGTCCGACTGGTGCCAGCACCACGTGCCAAGTCACCTGTAGCCCCAGGTTCCCACTGGCGCCCACAGTGGACCAGGCACCCCAGACAGCCTCGCCCGCCCACTGAGCTACTGGTGACCCTGTGAGCATCCACACTGCCTGCAGGGGGCGCTCGTCGGTTTCCATCCGTCAGGAGGTAACAGGCTTTTTTTCCTTTTTAAAAAAATACTTTTAGCGAATATCCTTTTAACATCCTTGCCCTCCCCAGCCCACCTGAATTCTAACCTCATTCATTCTCACTCTCTTCTATTCTCCTCGTTAGGAGAGGTGCTCCTTTGGGGTAGGGACGGCATGTGGAAGGGAACTTTATTGTTTCAGCATCTACTGAGCTGCTCCTACTGGGGCAAGGTGCAGGGCTACAGCAACGAGCACAAACACTGGGTGCTGCCCCTCAAGTAAGTGCACACGTATTTATAACACAAGCTTTTAGCACCTCTCACAGCACTGGGCTCATTAATGGGTTATTGCATTTCTCAAGTCCCTATATTTTTTTAACAAATCGAGATCAGGTCATGTATACAGTTTTATTTCCTGTTTTTTCACCTAGCATTTTCATTTATGCATTTACTGTGTAATTTCAATCTATTAATAATTTTTATCTGGTAGAATATAGTTAGTTCGGAGATGCTGTCTCCTCCATTAGATCGTAAGCTTTATACACATCTTTGAATTGCCACCCTCTCCCACATGGTATGTGATGGGTGCTGACTATGTGTTGAACTAAAAAAATTTTTCCAATTAAATGGAGTTGCGGGGGAGTCAGAGAGAAAATCCAGAATCCAGAGTGGGAAGTCACAACTGATTCTAAATAGCTGTGCTCTGGGCCTCAATGTCTTCACCTGTAAATTAAGAAGGCTGAGCTGGAGAAATTCTACAGTCTGTACTTCTCAAACATTTTTGGGATTCTAACACTGCATACATCCAGAAGAATGTAATGTGGCCCCATCATGGACATCACATAAGGCTGACTTCAAGTGCTCTCACATTTCCAAAGCCCCCTTCCTGAGTGAGTCTTGTACCCCAAGGCCCCTTTCTCCTAGCTTTATTCACATATAACCCTGGGTAAGTTTATGATGTACCATGTGATGATTTCATATTTGGATATATTACAAAATGTTTGCCATAATAAGGCAAGTTAACACATCCTTTCCCTCACATCATTACCATTTTGTTATTGTGAGAACATTAAAGCTCTACTCTCACAGCAATGTTCAAGTACACAATACAATATTGTTAACCACAGTGGCCATGCTGTGCATTAGGTTCAACATGATCATCTTATAATTGAAAGTGTGTGCCTTTTGACCAACATTTCCACGTTCCCCCCACTCTTCAGCCTTTGATCACCACCATTCTATTCTCTGTTTTTAAGAAGGTGATGTTTTTAGATTTCACATAGGAGTTCATACAGTATTGATGTTTCTCTGTCAGGTTTATTTCACTTAGCACAATGCCCTCAAGATCCATCCCTGTTGTTCCAAATGGCAGGATTTCCTTCTTTTTCATGGTTGAATAATATTATATGTGTGTGTGTGTGTGTGTGTGTGTGTGTGTGTGTGTGTGTTACATTTTCTTTATCCGTTTTTCTGTTAATGGACACTTAGGTTGTTTCCATGATTTGACTTTTATGAGTAATGCTGTAAGGCAGATGAATGTGCAGATATCTATTCAAAATAGTGATTTTTATCTTCTTCAGATATATACCTAGAGGTGGAATTGCTTAATGATATGGTAGTTCTATCCTTAAATTTTTGAAGGATTCCATACTGTTTTCCATAGTGACTGTACCAATTTCCATGAGTACCAGTACTAGTGCCCCAGAGTTTCCTTTTTTCCTCCTCCTCGCTGGCATTTGTTGTCTCTGGGCCTTTAGTTTTCTTTGGGTTTACCCTTCATCTTTTCCCTGGCAGATGTCCCAGCAGAGCCAAGTCTTCACATGGGAACATTATGTCATCAATGCAATAGGTCATCTCGCTGGTGTGGGAAGGACAGGACATATTGTGGGGCTGTGAAGGTAACCTTGGGAAGCTCTTAAGGGGTTTATTGTTGCCCCCCACCCCACACATGTAGGGAAGTTATCAGAAACCTGTACTTGTCAGTCTTTCCATGAATCTTCTTAAAGATGAAGTACCTTGGCAGGAACATTTTTGCAAAAGCATCAGAATAAAATAATAACTGCAAATGACAAAAGACTTAAACACAATCATGGTTAAGATTCTGCTGAGAGTTCACATATATACACACAATGAGGCAATTGACTTAATTATCTATTCCACTCTTACTCAGCTTGACCACACATCAAATTCTTCCCCCAAGATTCCTTTTCCACAAACCTTCTGCAACTTTCATGTGCCTTTCAGCTTTGCCCTATCTTTTCCTTTTGTATTTTGAAACAATCATTTTAATTTAGGACAAAATTATTTTTTTTACCTTTTACCAAAAAAACTATGTTCTTTATATCATTCTTTTATCAAAACAACAACACCACATTCTATTTTCCTTTCCCTCAACAAAAAATGCATTTCCTTTTTTTTATACCTTCTTGTACAGAAAACATATATCCCACTTTCCATATACAGTCATTTTCTCTCATCCTTATTATGTTCTAGTAGTTTCGTAAAAAGCCTTAGTTCTTTTACAAATCAATTTTGGCTACAGCAGTCTGTATTTTTTTAAAGGCCTCTTTTGTCCTTCAGTTTCTGTGGGCAATGTTTAATGTTTTGGTTAGCTCCTGGGGTGTTTACATTTCAAAGGCATGATAAGATTTGCAAGTTTCAGAGACAGAAAGGATTCAAGTTTTCTCCTAGGCGTTTTGGGATGTATTTCTTTATTATCAGAAGTCTAAGGAAATTGCTATTTAAAATTTTCCTTTGTGTTAGGGGGTCAAACAGTATAGGGTAGTGGTTGGCAAACTGCAGCTCGCGAGCCACATGCGGCTCTTTGGCCCCTTGAGTGTGGCTCTTCATAAGCTTTAGGAGTACCCTAATTAAGTTAATAACAATGTACCTACCTATATAGTTTAAGTTTAAAAAATTTGGCTCTCAAAAGAAATTTCAATCGTTGTACTGTTGATATTTGGCTCTGTTGACTAATGAGTTTGCCGACCACTGGCATAGGGCACTCCATCGATTTCATTATCAATCATCATGACATTCTGCCCTTTGTTCTTCTTACTTTCCCAGGGATTCTACCTCCTGGTCTCCCCATCAGGTCGGTCACAGTGCTCAGACCTTAACCTACAGCATCTTTCGCCTTCCTAGCTTTGCAAAATGGCCCAGTAAGGTCTCAAATTACTTTTCTCTTTAAATATTTTTTTTTCAATTACAGTTGACATACAATATTATTGGTTTCAAGTGTACAACATCATGGTTAGACATTTATATAATTTACAACGTGCTCCCGCTAATAAGTCCAGTACCCAGCTGGCACCATATGTAGTTATCACAATAACTATATTCCCTAAGCTCTACTTGACAGCCCCGTGAAATGTATGCTACTTAATTTCTTCCCTTTATCACCCAGCCCCCCAAGCCCTCAAACTTATTATGTCAGCCTCAGAGATAGTTGTCAGCTGCATGCCTTTCTCCAATCTGTTTTTGATCCAACTCTCTAACTTGAGTTTCAGCCTCTAGTTGGGCTGGGGAAGCTGCCCTCTGACCTTGCTCTTCCTTCCCTGTGAGGGCAGCCTCTTAGCTGGGGAGTTCCCTCCTGGTGCTGGGCAGTGTCAGCTGCTGGGTGGATGATGCAGGCAAAATGAAGCTGCTCTCCCTTCCCTTTTGTGTGGTTCTTCTCAAGTTGTTTAGTTCCATCGTGTTGCTGAAGTTTCTTAAGTGGACTCCAGCACCCTTGCAAGTGTATTTTTGCTCAAACATAGCTAATAGTTGATCTTTGTTGGGGGAAGGAGGCTGGGGCCTCCTATTCTGCCATCTTGGTGACATGGTTCCCCTACTGCCTTTCATTTCTGGATCTGATAGAGGTTGTCTTAGCATTAACTTGACTTTTTAAAAATTAACTAACTAATTAGTTAATTTAGAGCTTTACCTTAATAATTACTAATTTTCTGGTTCCAGGATTCTGACTTCTCTTAATCAGGGTTCCTTCTCCAGACTTAGTCCGGTCCCTCAAGTGTTCTGCAGCCTTGTATGAGCAATTTAGACCCCCATATTCAACTATACCACAAAAAGGCTCCTTTCCAGCCCTTCGAGTTCCCCATTTTTGTCCTGTTATTTTGACCCGACAATTTTACAATGCTCCTCAACCAGTTTTCTACATGAGAGTAAATACTTTGTTTAATATGTCTCCTACCATTTTAGTAAAGAATGCATTGTAATGAATGTTATAAGTTTAAAAAATACTAATAATGTAGTTTCCAGCCTTCTTTCCTCAACACTCCTAGACTTGGTCTTCAAATATTATGACCATCATGGTTAAAGATTTGATCAAA